TGTCACGGGCATTCTGCCTTGGCTTTTGGTTTAAATATCTTTAACGATGCTGAATTCTCATTGTGCCACCTCGAAACAGCGCTGTGTGTTTTTTCCCTGCAGTGGACCGCAGTTCGAAGAGGAGACAAGTGAAGCCTTTGGCAGCTTCGCTGCTGGAAGCTTTAGATTATGATAGCTCTGATGACAGTGATTTTAAAGTTGGAGATGCTTCAGGTAAATATGTTTCCTTGTCTCCTCGGTTCAGAATTATCTCATTTTTGTTTTATGGTTGCTCGTTTAATATCCTAGGGGGGGACGCAGTGGTGTTAGTGAACTGTTGGGACTAGGAACCACTTGAAGTTCAGTAACTTCACTGGCTAACTGGAAATTCTTATGCTGCAGATAAGAAACAACTGATTACACGAAGCATCCTTACAATATTTCAGTTGCAATTATTTTTTTCTCAGCAGAAAGCTCATGAATCAAGCAGATTTTGGCAGAAGCATTGAGTGTGCTGACTGCCTTAGCTCTATGTATTGCTTTTTATTTCTTCAATGTAGAGATAATTTTTGAAATATTCACTGCATTTAGTATTGAAATAAGAATGTTCTAAAGCAATTTTGTTTTGAATCAGTCTGGATAATAGTTTGTTGTGGTCTTAAGAACTTGCCTGTCTCTCAAGGTTAATTCCACTTGATGAGTGAAAACTTTAAGCAGAAGGATAATTTGTAAAGTTTTTTATTGTTTTTTTTTGCAATAGAAAAACTTAAGGTGTCTATTGAAATAGCTATGCAGAAAGGTGTACACATTTTGTACTAGAGGGAAGTCCTTGCCCCAGAGTGTTTTTGTTCTGCAGATTCCTGTATCTGCAGTGAACATCCACAGAAACTGAAAGTAAACAAGATACCAAAATAAGACGAATGAATTCAGGTATATTGGAGGGAAGGGAAAGAAGGAGCAGGGCCATGCTTGTGAATGAACTGCACTTTGGATGTTCTGTGGCATATGCTCAGGGAAATAAGCGAAGAGATGCAGGATGTGTAAGATGTAAGGGAGGCATTACAACAGCTTGTCAAATAACTTCACTTTGTTATTTCTGCGCTGGGGATGCTTATCTATGTTTTAATGTGAATGTAACTTGCAAAAATATTCACCATCTCCATTTAAAGGCTTATTTTTTTAACATCTGGCAAGCTCCTCCTTATTAAGGAACTTAAAAATGCTTAATAATAATTTATCCAGTGCCAGTTTTAAGATATGCCCTAATGCTCCGTGTTTTTTTTTTTTTTCCCCAAGCTTAGGCATATTTCCCTTGGTTGATCTGGTAGAAGCAGGCTGCAGTGACTTAAGAATTTTTTTTCCCCAAGCTTAGGCATATTTCCTTTGATTGATCTGGTAGAAGCGGGCTGCAGTGACTTAAGAGAGTAAAACTGGTGTTGTCTTGCCAATTTCATGCTAGGATTTTGGGGGGCTTGTTTCATTTACTTTTTTAATCTTGTTTTGGGGATTTTTGATCTTTTTGGTTTTTTGTGAGTAAGGGCACTGCCTTTTTTAAAGACAATTTTCCATAAAGGGAAACTATTTTTTTAGTTCCTAAAGAAAATCTTCCTATTCTAGAACAGTAGTTTAGGCAGGATTTGAGGGAAAAGGAGAATTGGGAGTGGAGTATGGGAAATGGATACATAGTTCAAAGCAGTATATTATTTGGTTAAAAGACAATCAGTAATTAATTAAAAATAGTGACTAAAGCTTCCTGACTCAGCTATGTCTACATGCAGAGAATTCCTTTGTAACTGATAGCCTCTTTAATTTTTAGGATATTGTGCATACACATGGAGGTGTTGGTGTTTAGCCTTGAGAGTATTTCAATCTCAGTTTCATTTTGAGGAAGTTGGATGGGTTTTTCCCTTGAAAAAAACAACACTGAGTTGGAACAAGTGTATGAGAAAAACCCAAGTTCTACTTACAGAATGTTTTTCAAATTACTGTTTTGTGTTTGTATAGTCATATAGCGTTGTTTTAACATCTCAGAACCTGAATCTATCACTTGTAGTAGAAACTAATGTTCTGTTTAATGAAATTTAAAATTTAGTGAAAAACGCTTTGAAGCAGCAGCGGAGTTTGACATTTTACACTTTATTCAAAGACCTTCAATGTGAGAGGAGAAAGTTGTGAGAGTTTGGAGAAGTTGGGGAATAGAAAGTTATCAAACATACAACCTCTTAAGTTGAAAGAAAAGAAACATTTCTGACTTGTAATACAAGCTAAATTAATAGTTTCAGGATATTTGAAACGAAATATCTGTGCCGATTTAAAATGAAGCTGGTATAACATAGCCTTAAATTTGGTTGTAGTTAACTGTTTAGATTTATATGGAAGAAGTGCTAAAATAAAGGGACTCTTTTACACACACTTGTATATAAATAAACTTGGTAATTTTTAAGTTATATATAAATGTGTAAAGGATATGTGTGTGCACACACAAGCAGCCCTACTAGACAAATTCTGGATTGTTGCTAATAGAAAAAAGGTTTCCTTTTTTTCACTGTGGATTCAGCCTTGAGAGCGTAATGTGTATTTCTGTAGTAGTCAGGGCTGTTGCTCTTCTTTCAATGACTGCAGAAGTCTCTCTGTGTGCAGCCTGTTGCAAATCAGTATTTAGTATTTGTTTGAACTCAGAATTACATTATGTAGTTTGCTTACAAAGGGAAATAAATGTGACAGAAGGAAGAAACAATCTTTCTACATTGAAAATGATTGTAAATTTTGCTCATGCAGTCAGAAAAATCCTGCAAGTATGGTAATTCCACAGCTCTGAAATTTATGTTTATTTGATTCACAAATGCATATATAGGTGTTTAAAAAAAAACAAAATTGAAAACTAAAGGACCATTTAAATACTGAATTATGAGAATTCTTAAGTTGTTTACACATTGTTGATTATGTTGCATCCATATGTATGATCTTCAGGATGTTAAGTGGTATGGGCTAGTAGGAGATATTGTGCAAGTCTAGGAGGACTGAGCTCTGAACATTTAAGTTTTTACACATGTTCATTGTTTTATTGGATTTCTGGGAATATGAGATGCAGTAAGGATTTGAGAAGTTGGTATAAAGTACTTTTAGGAAGGAATCGGCATTTCTGAATTTTTGTATTCAGAGTCCTGATGCCTTGGTAAATTTTTTTCATTACAGAAATTATTTCTAATCACCTAACCTCCATTCCCACCTAAAAAAAAAAAAAAATCCATAGAAGATATGGCCTTTACTTGCAATGTGGTTAATTTCTCTTTTTTTGGGTTTAGATCACACCAAGAGGCAATGACTGCCTTTTCCACTTTAAAGATCTGATCATTCTGACATCTCTTTAGGGAAACTGATTTTAAAACTATTATATTCTTGTAAATTTAATTAGTGTAAATAGTTTTCAGGCCTGTGGGCTTTTTATTATGATAATATCGAATAAAGTAATTTTTTAATGGCTTCTCTGTTTCTACATAATAGAAAGTAGTAATACCATATTATAAAGCGTTGTATTTTTCTGGTTTTTATAAACATTTTGAAAAACTTATTCCTTAAGTAAAAGTGTTGTATGTAATCTTAATGTGGGTTCAACCAAAAAAACCATCCCTTTGGAGTCAGTATACAAATATGTGACTTGAAATGATGGCACTGTGATATACTCAACTTTTTTGGTCATATGTTTCACAGTACAGATCAGTTACTTGAAGTTTTGCTTTCAAGTTAACAAGAGCATACTTTGGGGGTTCTTGGTGGGTTGGTTTCTTTTATCTTTTTATTTTAATGATAGCAGCTGAGGATATACTGATGTCAGAAGTCAGTGTATAGCTGTAGGGTAATCCCCATCGGGATTCCAAAGCAGGGATTTACCACTTTTTTTCTCTCTCATCGGTGAAGTCGGTCAGTTCTGGCAGCTCGTACACCAAAACTGAAATGATACGGAGAAGTGTAATGTGGTCCTTGAACAAGAATGATGGGTGAATTTAGGTACTGGCTCTCTGTCTCAGTGTAGCTAAGAAGAGCATGGCTGAATGCTGCCCTGAACACCTGGATTCTCCCACCATTTCTGCTACAAGTCTCCTAGATTCAAATTTTTAGAGATACTTGTAGATGTTTGGGTTTTTGCTGTTGAGCATGGAGCCTAACTTGCGTAAGTATTATGTACTATTATCACAACTGAGGTCAGTAGGACCTCTGTTTAAAGTGTGTAATGATCTATATAAAAGCAGAGATTAGGTATTCTGATAAGCCTGTGACTTGATCTAGAAATAAAAAGTTGCAAATATTTTTATCTTTCTGTAATGTGTTTCCCCTTAGCACAATGGAGATTCCACTTTTGCTTTTCTGAACAGGATGTTGTAATATAAATAAATGTGAAGCACTGAAGTACTGTAGTGATAAACTACTGAAATATTGATGAAGAAACTAAGACAAGTTTGTTTTTGGGAACAAACTTACATGATATGCAACAGAAAAGTTGTTAGGTGTTTCAGTACACAGTGAAGGTAAGAGAAAATATTGAATAGCTAATCATTAGTAAATTATTACGTAATTGCACAATTACAATCATTTCAAGGCTTGACTTTGCAATGGTTGTGTGTAGTGCCTCAGAGCAGAATTCCCAAAGGCTTTTTCTCATAGAGAAAATAGAGAATATGGGCATTATGTTTTCTTGGGTTATCTTCATCCCAAGTGAGATCTTTTGGCCATACAGATGTCTGCCGCTTGAATTAACACTTTGGAGTGACTGCGGGGGATTTTGAACCTGCATTCTCTTTAGAAACACCGAGATTTCTGTTCTGTGTGTTCACTGACAGCAGAGGAGTGATGTAACAGAAATCTAGGCTTTCATTCCAGTGTCTGGGCAGGGTGGATTTAGTGATGGGGTGACATTCTTTTTCTTTGTTTTTCCCCTACTGTGGCTCTTTGTGCCTTGTCTTTCCAGTCTGTCTGTCCCTTATGGAACCCTTGCTCATCGGGTCCTGCTTGTTTGGTCAGTCTTGAACAGGCTTTTCATGGTCTCATATTTTACTTTCACTTGCATCTCCTCTTTTTTGTTCACATGTCCATCCCTTGTCTATTTCCTGACGCATGGAGAAGGTTCTTCTGCGCTTTATTAACTCCAGCTTGATGGGATGGTCTGTTTGCAGCGTGACCGCCTCTCAGAGTCTAGACATGCTCAGTGAGGATGGGATGTTTCAAGTCTTTCTTGA